CCTTCTCCCCCTCGAGGAGGTGGCGCCCCGACGCCCCCTGGTTGTGGCCCCCCCCGTTGGGGGCCGCAGTGGTGGAGTCCGGGCCGGTGGGGTCGGAGGATCGTGCCGCATCGCGGGTGCATCGGCGATGGGGATCGGTTCGGAGCCCGATTATTTCCATCCCGACGTCGCCCGTGCGTCGCCGAGGAGGAGGAGGAGGAGAAGGAGGAGGAGGAGGAGGAGGAGGAGGAGGAGGAGGAGGAGGAGGAGGCGGAGGAGCAGAGGGAGCAGAGGGAGCAGGAGGAGCAGGATCGGACCCCACTGTCGCGGCCCCCAACGGGGGGGGGGGGGCACGACCACGGGCGCCGCGGCGCGACCTCCTCGAGGGGGATGATGGCCCCTCAGGACCTCCCCCCCGCTCCGGCCAGAAGTCAGGCAATCGCAGGCACGGATCAATGGGGGCGTGGGATGAGCGACGGGTCCCGCTTCCATGGGACATCGCGGAGATTTCCGCCGCCGAGCGAGGTGGCACCGGCCGCCGCATTTTGGGGAGGGCACCTCCCCGGATCCATGGACTTGGGGACCGCGCGTCAGATCCATGGACCTGCCAATCCATGCCTGCGCGCCCCCCGAGGCAGCGCCCCCCCCGCGCGCGCGTGGCCTGTCGTCCCCGCAGGACCGCCTCGCCCCTCGGGCGCCTCGACGTCGGCGCCACCCCCCCGGGGAAGCAGACGACGGGTCCCCGGGAAGCGCTGGGCGGCGCCCCCCTGCGGCGGCGCCCTACCGGGGGCCCGGCGCGAGGGTGGCGGCCCCCTCCAAGAGTCGGTCTCGTTTTGCCGATCCCTACACCTTAGGCGATGCTTAAGAAAACTTAAATGTTCGGCCAGAGTCTCGATTATTCTTAATGTTTCAATGTGAATCCCAAGATTTGAATAGAACTTTCGGGTTTTTATTCAAGTTCTGAGACTATGAATTTCTTAACCCATGATTTCTTAAGCATTTCGCAGGGTGTATCCCCATCCCCATGCGCATCTTCTAGGCCTCCCAGATGGGGGAGGATCGCGCCGCATCGCCGATGCATCGGCGATGCGGCTCGATGCGCAGCCCGATCTGCTTCACGTCGACGTCGCCGAGGCCTCGCCAACATCGCCGGTGCATCGCCGATGCGGCGCGATCCTCCGACCCCAGCTACTCCGACCCCATCTTGGAGGCCTCTACATCACCAGCCCCCTCGCCTCGCCACCTCCCTTGGGGATGTGCCCCTCGCAGCCCGAAGAGAGCGGCCCACATCCCCCATCGGGGGGGGCAAAGTCGGCCCGTGGGGCCCAGCCAACGCCGGTGGGGATGGGGCTCGGTGAAGCGATGCTCAAAGAGGGCGGGATGGGCTTCTCAGAAGTCAGGGACCTTCTCGGGAGGCCCTGGCGCAGAGCCCATTTCGACCCCTCCGATTCGATTCGACGCGAGTTCGGTGGCTCCGATTCCGATTCGATGCGACCGGGGATTCCGATTTGGGGTTTGACTTCTTCTTATTGGACGCATACCTGTCTGCCGATTTCCGCCGATTCGACTTTTCCCGACTCGGCTGCCGATATCCGCCGATCCGATTCCTTTCGATCGCCGATCCGACTCATCGATTCGATTCTGGGCTCTTCTGCCCTGGAGGCCTCCAAGAGGGCTCCCTGCCCCCCTGCTTTCTCAGGGGGCCCCGACGCCCTTTCGGAAGCCCTTCTCCGTCGCCCCGTTGTGGGCGCCGCCCCCTCCCCCTTTTCCCTCTCCCTGCCCCCCGCCTGGGCAGCAAGTAAATTCGACCAGCAACAAGATCGGCCCGGCTGAATTTGGCCAGCCGAACTCGGCCAGGCTGAATTTGGCCAGCTGACCTCAGCCAGACTATCTCGGCCAAGCTGAATTCGGCCCTGGCCGAGTTCAGCCTGGCCGAGTTCAGGGGGCTTCTGGGGGCCTCTGAGGGACCACTTGGCCTTCCGAGGCCGTCTTGGGGCCTTCTCTCGGCAGTCGTGGGTCCCTCTTTGGGCGCTTCAGGGCCGTCTTGTATGTCTATGGGGCCGGTTTGGGGCCCTCTTGGGCCTTTTTGGGGCCCTCGTGGGCTTTCCGCGGGCCTCTCCGGGGCCTCTTGGGGCGCCTAGGGGTTATCTCGGGGGCCCAGGGGGGCCGTCTGGGAGCTCCGGAAACCCAAAGATGCAAGAGCAGATCAAAATCATTGAGAAACCCGAGACACATCGATGATTTTGGCCTCTCCGAGGTCCTCTACTACCAGCTTGAACCCTATCCTTATGATTGGCTCCACCCGATCCGGATGACGATCTCAAGGCTTCCTTCAGCTCCTGAGAGCATCTCCCCAAGATCGTCATCGCCTTGGGCTTGCCGATCTTTAGCGATCGGGATCACTTCGAGGCTGGTTACAATGGGAACCCATGCCAAGAAACACCCTCCTTGCCTCCAGGGTGCTCTGGGTTTCTTGGTTTTCGATGGTTTTGCTATGCAAAGCGTGAAGTTCCCACACCAGAAGCCAATGGACCCCCTGGGGTATCAGGGTTGGGTTTCTTGTGGAAGGCTTCTTGTGGTCGAGCTTCTACTGCAAGGCTTCCCCCAGTCCCTGAGGGCGTATCCCCCAAATCGTCCTCGCCTTGGGCTGTCAGATCTTTTGGGATCGGTATCCGTTTGAGGCTGCCTACTCTTCGAGGCCTCTTCCTGGGGGAATTGCAAACACCGGTTTGATGGTATATACACCAGTGGAATGGAGTATTCCCCGGGCAAGCTCGTTTATCCCCCGGTTGCTTTCTCTAAGCGTGAGGAAATCTCACTCGTCGCGGAGAGGCTTCGGAGAGTCCTCTCAGAGGCTCCTCAGAGGCTTCTAGGAGTCCTCTCAGAGGCTTCCGCTAGCGAGCGATGTGACGAACAACCACGGCGCTTTCACTGGGCCGATGCAGAGCCTTGCCCCCCCCCCCCCCCCCTCGGGGCGCCACCCCTGGCGCTGCCCGCCCCTCGGGCTCGCCTGCGCGCTCGCCGCGCGCGCCGCCGCCTGCTTCCTGCCCGCGGCCCGGCTGCCGCGGCCGGCGGGCACCGCCGCGGCGGCGGCCGTGCTCGCGGGCGCCGGGGCGCCCGCGCTCGCCAACGAGGAGGCCTCGGCAGCCGCGGCGGGCGCTTTTTTGTCCCTGCAGTGGGGGCCCGTGCCAAGAGACACCCTTAGGGAGCCACACGCGAGCCCTACCCCTGCCCCCCACGATTTCTGAGGGGTGGGGTGGGGCTCGCTTCGTTCGGGAGCTCTCGGGCGAGGTGAGCCCCACCCTCCCCCTCAGAAATGGTGGGGGGTGGGGGTAGGGTTCGCATGTGGCCCCCTAAACCTGCTTGCCTCTGGGGTGCTCTGGGCTTCTTGGGCTCCGATGGTTTTGCTATGCAGAGCGTGCAGTTCCCGCGCCAGAGGCCGAGGGGCGTCCTGGGGTCTCAGGGTTGGGCTTCTTGCGGCAGGTTTCTTGTCGTCGGGCCTCCACTGTTCAGCACTCCTCGAAAGCAAGCGCAGGTTTTTAATGCTCGTCGACGCGCGAAGCGCGGCCCACGGCGTCAGGTTTTGATGCTTGCAGTCTCGACAGTTTCGGCGCGAGCGTTGAGATGTGGGAGTCCTGGGGCGCCGCCGCGTCGAGGGATTGAGACGCGCGTTGGATTTCGAGGGGGGATGTAGCCATCGCCTGGGGGATCGATCTTCGGGGACCTCGTCCAGCGGTGGGCATGGATACACAGTTGGGCCACCCTTGGGGCCCAAGTCTATTTCCATACGGTGGGGGCGTTTGTTAAGGAATAGTTCTGGGAGACGCCAGACCCTGAAGGATTCCTTACCCAATGAGGGCGGCGGTGATATCCATGGCCGATCCACGATTGGAGTTCCACTGGATTCCAGACCCTGGATTCCTTATCTAAGGGTTTCTCATCCACTGCCCACACCGTATCCATCGCCCGCTGGGGTCCCAGGACGTCGGTTGCCCGGGCGGTGGATGTGGATATGTCCCCGCCTCGCATCGGCAGCAGCTCCAGGGAGCCCGGCACGGCTGGTGCTGCAAAGATGGCGTGCGACGTGGCCCAGTCCTTTCTTTTTTTCGCCGATCCCCATCCCCGTCCCCGCCCCCACCATCCCACGACTCGACCCCGGTTTGCGATGTGCCCCTCGAGGCCCGAAGGGAGCAGCCTCTATGCCCCTCCAGGGGGGCACATCGGCCAGTGGGGCCCCGGCCCAGGCCGCGCCAGTGGGGATGGGGAGCGGTCCAGCGATGCTCAGTGGCACCGCCGGCCCTGCGCAGTGCACGCTGTCCCCCGCAGCTCGGGGGAGGCGCGCGCCGGAGAGGCCCCTTGGCAGGGGGACCGCGCGCACAGCAGGGGCCCTCGTTTTTTTTGTTTTTTATTTTTTTTTTGTTGGTTTATGATAAAAAAGTAAAGACAAAAAAGGGGCCCTCGCGGGAGACCGTCTCACACGGACAGCGTGCTCTGCGGAGGTCGATGTTGCATGCTGTCTTGCCAGCGCCAACCGCACGTCCGAGTGCATGGGCGTCTGCTGGCGTCTCGTAATCGAGGGGAGGGCGCCGATTCAGCGTCGATTGCAGCGTCGATTCAGCGGCGGCTGGCGTCTGCTACGGTGGGGGCGTTCGTTGAGGAATGTGCGCCCAGGAGGCTTCACACCCTGGGGGATTCCTTATCTGACGAGGGCGGCGGTGATATCTGTGGCCAAGCCTCCATGGGCGTTCCACCTGCATCCAGACCCTGGGTTCCTTGTCCAAGGGTTTCTTATCCAATGCCCTCACCGTAGCAACTCATGGGAGCCATGTATGTCCGAGTGCATTCGCGTGCGCTAGCGTCCGGTAATCGATGGGAGAGCTCCGATTCAGCGCCGATGAGCGCCGACTTCGCGTCGATTAACGTCGAGTGTCGTCGATTAGCGTCGATCAGCGTCGGCCAGCGTCGATTCGCAAGAGCCAGCAAGATGACATGGCAGGGTCCCATGAGTTGCCACAGCAAAGGCGCCCGAGGGCTTCCTGAACTTCGGCAAGGTCCCGCTGGGCGGGGGGAAGGGAGGTCAGAGGAGGAAGAGGATACCGATACCGCTATCCTTCCCTGGTCCCCACGGCAGGATTCGCCTCCAGCTCCTGGCCCGAGCGCACCACGGGAGAGGTCTGGGGAGCAGCGGGATCGGTACCCTCTGGTCCGCTCAGAGGGGGTCCGGAAATCTTCGGTGCCCAGGAGGTGTTCTTCGAGTTCGGCCTTTGGGGGGCTCCGTCCGAGCCCTGGGCCCGTGGTACAGTGGAGAGCCGCGCCAAGACACACCCCGCTCGCCTCCAGGGTGCCCTGGGTTTCTTCGGCTTCGATGGTTTTGCGACGGAAAAAGCGTGACGCTCCCACACCAAGAACCACTGCACGTCCCAGGGTCTCTCGGGAGGGAACAAAAGCAAACCGACACAATTCACCGACGATGCCCCGAAGAATAGGGGAAAAGGCTGGGGCTTCTTGTGGAAAAGGCTGCCTGCGGTCGGGCCTCCGCTGGTATGGGTATCGATGCGGGGCGGAGGGTCGGCCAGGGTGGGCCCCCCCTGGGAGGGGGGGGGGCCCGGGGAGCGGCCCCGAGCGGGCTGCGGGTCCCGGGCCCAGCACCTCGGTGCCTGTGCCTCCCTGGCCAGGCCAGGAGGGCACGCACATATACACACATATCTATCTATCTATCTATCTATCTAGCTACTAGCTAGCTAGCTAGCTATCTATATATATATATCTTTCTATATATCTATCTATCTGTCTTTCTATCTATATATAGAACAAAATATATAGTTATCTCTCTTTATCTATCTATCCCTTCATCTGTTTAGCCATCTATCTGTCTATCGGTCAATCAATCTATCTATCTGTTTATCTTTCTATCTATATGTGCGCTGGTCCTGTTCTCGGGAGGGGCTGTGTGGCTGGCGTTCCTCTCAAGAGGTCCCGCTGGGGGGCGGCTTCGAGCTGAACCTCGACATCCCGGAGACCGGCATCGTCAACATCGCCGTGCTCATCGCGGGCCTCCTCTACCTGCTCGGGCCCCTCCTCAGCGAGTCGATGGCCACGCGCGAGAAGGAGATCCAGGGCGACATCGACGACGCCATCGCCAAGTTCAACGAGGCGACCAGCCGCCTGGCAGAGGCGGAGAAGGCCCAGGCGCAGGCCAACGAGGTGATCGCGGAGATCAACGCGAGCATCGACAAGGACAAGGCCGAGTTCGAGGCCTCCCTGAAGGCCAACATGGAGAACACGCTCGCCCGCCAGGAAGCGGCCGCCAAGCAGGCCATCAAGGACATGGAGGATGGTGCGGCAAGCCGCATCGAGTCCTACATCAGCACCACGGCGATCGAGCGCGGGATGAAGGAGCTGAAGGCCCTGGATGCCAGCAAGAAGGACAAGTACATGGACATGGCCATCGATGAGCTGTGAGTTGCTACAGCTTGTGGGCCAAAAGAGGCTCACCACAAGCACGTGCATCTTGCTCCAAGCAGGGGGACCGATCTACTCTGGAAACAAGTCTCCGTTTGCACGTCAGCTATGGCGTCCAAACGAGTTGCTTCGAGGTCATACTTGACGTGAAGCGCACTGTTTCCAGAGTGCCGCAGGTTCCTGCCTCAACAACGTCGGCTCCAGGTTCTACACCGCACGGCCGTTCAACCTTTAAAGATCTCCGTTCTCGGAGGCACCTAGAGGCTGTCGACTACATGCGGTGTGGGCGTTGGTTAAGGAATATCCCGAGTAGGCTTCTGACCCTGTACGATTTCTTATCTGATGTTGGCGGCTGTCATACTGATGACCAATCCACGATCTGAGTTCCAACCCCTTCCAGAGACCCTGTATTCCGTTTCAAATGCTTCCTTATCCAGTGCCCTCACCGTACGGAGGCGGCATTGGATACGGAACGCCTTCCTGGGGCCCAGACCCCGGTGCCCTCCTCCTTGTTTCAAGGCGAGGCGGGTGGCCCGCGTTGGGCCTTCCCATCGGCCGCGAGGCTCTGGGCTCCTTCTCGGAGGTCGCCTTATCCAAAGCCTCCGCCGTATTCCGTGTGGGCGCCGCACCGGGGGTTGCCTCCCGTGGGTCCTGGGGCCCGCGGCGCTCTGCAGGAGGTGGCTCTCGGCCTCTTGGCCGGCCGCCGCCGAGGCGCCGCCGCCGGTCGTGGACGGCGGCGCGGGCCTGCCGCGGAGATCGATCCCCGCTGCGCTGTATCCTCCCCCTAGGTCGGGCATGTGCTACTACAGGAGGAATGCTCAAGCATAGTTTGAAACATGTCAGGAGACGATTGTTTTTTTTAGACTATTTTTGCTCATTGCTGCGTATTTTTGAATCGTTTTGCGCATGTTAAGTTTTCGTCCAAAATCCGCCTGTAGGGGGACACTCCCGACCTAACCCTTCCCTCAGTGTTTTGACTTTTTTCCTTGTAGGCTCCAGGCCTCGAGCCCATGAGCTGCTTCGGGCCTGGATCGAGAAGAATTTCGCAGCGCAGCACGGCGTCTTTGCGCGCCGTTGGCCCGCCAGCCATGCTCGCGCTCCTCCTTCTGCTGCTGCTGCTCCTCCTCCTCCTTCTCCTTTTCCTCTCTCTCCTCCTCCTCCTCCTCCTCCTCCTCCTCCTCCTCCTTCTTTCTCCTCTTCCTCATCCTTTTCCTCCTCCTCTTCCTCCTCCTCTCCTCCTCCTCCCGCTGCTTTGCCTTCTCTCCCTTCTCCCTCTCCCCCCACCCCTTGCCTACATTCCTCCATCCCCTCGTCTTCTCCTTTCTCTTTCTACTCCTCCTTCCCCTATTTCTCCTCCTCCCCACCTTCCCCTCTCCCTCCACCATATTTTCTGCTCCTCCCCCTCCTGCGTTTCCTCCCATCCCTTGTCTTCATCGTCCTCGTCGTCCTCCTCCCCCCTCCTCGCGCTCCATTCCTCATTCCTCTCCTTCGCCTCTTCTCCTCTCTTTCCTCCTCATTCTCTTTGTCCCCCTCGGCCTCCTCCTCTTCCAATTACCCCCCCTCTCTCTCCATCTCTACCCTCGTCGACCCACTTGCTTCATCCGTCTGTTTTGTGTCTTTCGCTTTCGTTTAGCGAGCACTCGTCGAACGTAGCACCAGTTACGCTGATCGATGCTGCTACTTTTCGACATGGGATCTTGCTTGAGATTTCATCACATGATATGGCGCTAGGTTGATCACGTTGGGCAGTTTCACGGACGGATGGCGATATATATTTTCACAATTTCGTTCCTCTTGACAGTTGTCTCATGGCCTTCGGCCCATCCCGCCACCGTGCCTGGGTTGTGGGTCAGAGTTCTCAGGGATGCTTCTTGAGGTTTCTTCGGAGCGCTCTCGGGGGACTCTTGGGGGCAGTTACAGGGCCTCGTGGAGGCTCAGAAGTTTTTTTTTGAGGGTCTCTTTGGGTGCCTGTCGGGGGCCTCATAGAGGGTCCTTGGGGGCATCTGTTTTTTGTTTCGGAGGTTTCTTCGGGCCTCGAGGGAGCTTCTTGGGGGCCTCCCGGAGATGCCTCTTGGGGGCGCCTCGGGGGCCTGTGGTGAGCCCTTGGGGCCATCTCTGGGGGAAAGGCTGGGAATCTCAGTTCGTATTCCCCTTCGTGGGCGCCTCTTGGGGCTGCCTTGGGCCGTCTTGGGGGCCCCTGGGGCTGTCTTGGAGACCTCTGGGACTGTTTTTGGGGCCCTCTTGGAGGCCTCTTATGCCGTTGGGGCGACCTTGGGGGCCTCTTAGGCTGTCTTCGAGCGTCGGGAAGCCGACAAGGCGAGAACGCGCAAATCCTTCGAAGGCCTTTCTGGAGTGGTCTTGGAGGCCTCTTTGGGATCGTGGGGGCATCTTGCGCCGTGCGGGGGCCATGTGCGGCGTCTTGGAGCGATGTTTCGGCGACTCGGGGCACTCTTGGATCGTCTTGGGGGCCTCTTGGGGCCGTCTAAGTGGCCATGGATTGTAGATAAAGAGGCTCCGGAGACGCCAGGGATGCGCTGAGGAGCCCGGGACTCCCCCCTTACAGTGGATTTTGGGCTCTCGGGGAGGGGGGACGAGGGAGGCGGAGAGCCGAACATCTCACACACCCTTTCACCCCCGCTAGTGGGGGTCGGCGGACATCTTCACTCGTGGTGCCACAGTCCGCTTCTGATGGGGAGATCCGTAGCCATGGATCCGTTTCGAGACGCTGGGCGGAGAGGACGATGGCTGGCGGCACGTGGAGGATCGCAGTCGTGCTCGGGGTTCGTCGCTGCAGCAAGAAGAAGCAAACCAACGACCGTCGACGTGGTTCACAGCGTGCGCCGGGTGGACACGTGTCCATTCTTTGCACAATGCACGGGCGGAGCTATAGTTTCGACCGTATCTTGGGAGCCGCAGAGAAGAGCGCAGCGCTGGCGCCCCCCCACCTGCTGCAAAGCTGACGAGACCGACAGGAGACGACGGCAATGGATCTCATCGGTGACATCGTCGCGTCGTTTCGTTGCTCAGCTTTGCATCGCTGGGGGGAGGGGGGGTGGGCGTGGGCCGCGCGCTCGTCCTGGCGCGGCGACAGATTCGGCTACCGCCGCATGGGCGCGTCGCTGCTTTTCATTTCAACCGCTTCCTGAACGGCGCAATCTTCCTGGGGCAGCGCGTTCGGAAGCTGTAGTACCCGGCAAGTAAACCCGAGCGTACGCACTGCCACATCTCGCTCTTCCCAGGATTTCACCCAGCCACCCAGCCCGTGATGGGAGCTCCCGCGAACCCTGCTGGTCCCATCCCGCCCGAGACCACGACCAAGCTGCGAGAGATCGCGGCCACGTTGCCCGATCAGCAGGCGAAGGATTGGCTTGCCCCGTACCACCGCCAGGCGCTCTCCAAGCTGCCCTTGATTCTCGTCTACGAGTGGAGAAAAATTGAGGAATGCATTCGTGTTGAGCAGAAGGTGGAGGCTGCTGTGGCAGAAGCAGCATCGCGCGTTGCCGCTCGAGTGCTGCCGACAAGCTGCTGCCAGATGACGGCGGCGATGCAGACGTAATGTCAGCGCTCGGGGAGATTCTCGATCTCGAAGAGCCCGAATTCACCGAAGCAGACCGTTCCAGTTTCCAGGTGTTCGAGAAGGAGCAGGCTGACATCATCAAGGAGCACTTCAATGTTGCATTCACTGAAGGTTCTGCCAAAGTCAAATGGCATCGCGATGCGTCTGCCGACCGTGCCAAACAGCTACCGGCCAAGAAGCGCAAGTTGCCCTCGCCGACAGCAGCTGTGGGAGTGCTCCGATGAGTGGATCGTCGGCGTCGTCTGGTGCCGCGGGAGCGTCGGGGCCAACGGCTACAGGGGGAGAAGGGGCGGGTGGGGAGAAGCCTGGGCGCCCTCCAGGCCTGGCCCCAGACCCCGAGCAGGCGGCGAAGGAGTGTTTCCGCCAATGCGCGCTGCGGGGCCTGCGGCAGAGGCCGCCAGGTTAGAGCTGGCTGACCGCGAGCGGCGAGGGCGCTGCGTGAGCTGCAGTGTGCGGCATTGGATGTTTTCAACCTGAATGTCGCCCCATCAGTCCCGCCCTCCTTTTCAGGTAGTTGTGTCTAGCATTCCAAATGTGGGCCCGAAGCCTTTGTGTGGTTCCAAGAGACCTCAGCATATGTGGTTTTGTTGTTCGAGGGCCGCATGAGGGGTGCGTGCTGTCTGTCTATGTGAAAAGAATCGCAGTTTGCTGGGTGGAAGGTCGTTTCCGATGAAAGTCACGTCACGCAGGGAGGGGGGGGGCTTCTGCTGGGGAGATGATGGTAGCCCGCTCACACCTCTTCTATGACCTCGTGCACCTGTCCACCTCCTGGAATCTCGCTAGGCCGTTTAGTCGGTGGCGCATGTGCGCTCTCATGCTTCGAGGTGTTAACAGAAGGGTCCCCTATGTCAGGTTTCTCAGCCAGCTGGGGTCCGTGCTGCTAGTTACAGGCGGCCCTATTATTGTGTGCGGTGATCGGAATGTGCTCTTCGAAGTTCTTGAGTCGGCGGGGGATTGCGCGGGGCCTGTGGAGATGTCTTGTGTTTCCAATGCGTGCGAACGAAGTAGCGTAGCACACGAGACTCATTGGTCATGTGTTAGTGAGTGATCATTTCAAGGCTGCGGTGCCGTTTCAGGGGCTTGATGAATCAGTTCCTCGGGGTGCTCATGCAAGCTTGGTTTTTGTTCCAAAGGTAACGCCACCCCCCAGGTCCTGCCTGTTCTGCGCTCGAAAGCGCTGGGGCGCTTCGTCGCCCAAAGGCCCTGGGCACAGGTCTGCCGTGGATCCATGTCCAGGTGCGGGCTAGGTTCCTGGAGCTGGCTAAACCGCGGCGTTCCAAAGGCGATCTTAATTTGGATGCCCTGTGGGCCCAAAGCCATACTGGGCCCGAAGTGGCGCGGAAGTTTCAGGATGCCCGTCACTGTCGGGGCATCGGAGCTACTGATGTTTGGCGGCGCGTTGGCGGGTGACGGCATTTGCGAA